CAGCACTTCCCTCATTGATGGGCTCTCCTCCATTCAAGACAGCATCCAGACTGACCTATGTACTCTTGCCCCTAATTCCACTTTTCCAAAGAGGGAATCAATTGACTTAGTTTGGATAAGGTGCCCAACTTAATCACTTGTAGCCAAGAGGGACATGAAGACAGAATAGGCTTGACAAATTTAGAAACTAATACTGCAGAATGCCTCGTCAAATTTGAGATCACATAGATAATAATAAAAAAAAAGTACAAGTATGTCCTATGCAGGACACTAATATACTGAGATATTAATAGACATTCCATAAAAAACGTTCCCATGATTTAAAAGGTTTGGAAAACATTAGGTAACATCTATCAATTCATTAAACATTAGAATTGGTGCCTGCTTGAGCCAGACACAAATTTCAGCAGAGGATTTCTTATAACTTTTAATATACCAGTTCACACTTTAACTCTTGAAGAGGAGGGAAAGAGTGGACAGTGTTTCCCAAACTTATCTGACTTTGGAAGTCACCAAATATCTAGTGTTTCTTAGAATCCAGTCTGAGAAATGCTGACTTAAGGCAAATATATCAAGAAAGATGACCTATTTTAATTATCAACACTTATGGATGTCTTGATGTTAACTCACACAAGAGCTCCCAACAAGTCTGAAGGTAGCCCAGCGGAAATCTGCATTATCAATGAAACACACGCTAAGACCCTGAGCCTGCATCCACGAGTCCCAGCCCTGATCACTTCCCCTTTTATTCTCCATTATCACAAAGACTTAAACTTATCCCAGATTTTACACAAGTTGTTTGATTATTTTATAGAGGCCATTTCAGCCCCTCTTCATAAGGCTTCTAGACCATTTCCAATATCTGTATCTCCTACCAAAATCACTACTCTATTTGTTATTACATTATGATTCAAAAAGTTCTGATTGTGGCCAGTGAAACTGCCTGTAAGAAATGGCAACAAATAATACCAGCAACAGACGAGTAGCCAAAGGCTGTCTTTCCCAATGATAAAACTCACCTCCTTGAAACTACCATGTCTTTTCAACACCTTTTGACCTTACCCCTGAGGCACCTGTCTCTTCTTTTGGCATCTTGACTTTCTCTGCTGCCCACTCTCATGTAGAACTTTTTTCAGCCCCCTCAATCTGCTAACATACCTTCCATGACAGTTCCTTCTGGGGGTTTGGACATGCCTCCAAAGACAGAAAATACAAACATATCCTATTTGAAATACCTCTACCCCATGTACCCTCTTGCACTTGGATGTACCAGTTTTCAAACTGTGTGTCATGAGACAAGAGTGAAAAAAAGTCACAGCTTGAAATATGCCCCAGGTTATAAGATCCACAAGGACTCAGTATGATGACTTCATCAGGGTTAACTGGAAATTTGAATGCTGACTGGATATCCGATGACATTAAAACTCTAATATTTGATGATATTAAAAAAGTCATGTTTTTAGGTGTGTTAGTGGGTTTCATGGTTTTGTTTAAAAAAATAGGGAGAAAAAAGATGAGGGAAAAAGTGCCTTAACTGCTATGAAAAAAATATGTCGTCAGGAATTTGCTTCAAAGTAATACAGGTGAGAGGGGCTGGATGAGACTGTAGCTGGGGCAGGATTGGCTGGGGGTTGATGGTTGTTCTATTTGGGTGATGGGTACTTGGAAGGGGTGGAGGGTTCATTATACTATTCTGTTTATTTTTATGTGTGTACAAAATGATCCATAATAAAATATTTTAGATAAATAAATAGGGTTAGTTGATCAGGAGAACCTGGGGGTAGAAAGTGGGAGTTATGGGACCAATCCTGCCACAGATTCTGCAGTGGAAACTGAAAGAAAGCTTGAAGGATTGTCTTCTTGTCCATTGTTCCAGGGTTCATCCTGTAGGGCATCTGAGGAACTGTTGGTGGCCCTCACCCCAAACTACAGAGGCACTTCCGTTCTGGGGAGATCCTCTTTGCTCTGACTCCTTACCAGCTGGGCACAGATGTTCACTCCCTGCGTTAGGGAACTTGCACCAGGTCTTGGTTTCCGCTTGTGCAGTCCCTCAAGGAGTAGACATCAAGTACTGCGTCTTTTTCGTTTGCTGTCTGTGGAAACCTTTGTTTCCCTCCGTGGACTTGGCAAGACACTGGCTGTCTCTCTGAGGCTGAGATTTCTGCCATTCTCACACGAGTCCTCTGGGTTGCTGCTCTCTTTGCTGATCTTCTTTCTCTCATGCTGAGATGACAAGAGGTGCTCTTCAAACCCTGGCAGCAAGAGTGCCTTTCTGAGAAGAGCACGAGCTCGAAGCAGAGCATCCCTCAGAAATCAAAGACTTGACAGTTCCTGTGGGACTGTTTTCAACAGCCCGCTGCAGCAGTGACTGGGAGTGCCAAGGCCCTACACCACATGCTCTACAAAAACATTGTTTTGAGGGCAATTCTGGTTCATGAGCAGATCTAATTCAAGATCTGCTTATTGGATAGGTGTTTGGGAGACATATGAATGCTTTCATGGAAAAATATGTCTTCTGAACCACAAGCAAAACAAAAAGACAACCTATGGAATGGGAGGAAATATTCGCAAATGATGAGACTAACAAGGACTTAATTTCCAGAATATATAAACAGCTCATACAACTTAATAACTAAAAAAAATCCAATCCAAAAATGGGCAGAAGACCTAAATAAGCAATTCTTCAATGAAGACATACAAATGGCCAATAGGCACATGAAAA